CCTACAGGGCACAGCAGCACTGATGTCCAAGCCTTATGCTTCAAATTTAGTTAAAATCTGATGATTCAAATGTCTCTAAGAAAACCAATGTCCAAATAAATATTTTCCCTCCAATAATTCAGTGACACCTATAATTCTTAGCTCACATATTACTGGCATACTCTCAAGTTAAAATGGTTTACCAAGAAAGCTCTAATTTAATACTATTGAATAAATGGCACTTTTGCCTGGCAACAGTGGTCATACTTGAAGCATCAATTACATGAGGAAGGCATTCCGTTTCAGCTCCATCATTTTAAATCTTATTTTGAACTCATAGTGTTGTGCTAATACTTTAAATTTTAACATTAGCTTGACTTATGAATGGTAAAACAATCTAACCTGCATAAAGTACCTTTTCTTTCTTCTTTTACTTTTTTTTTTTTTTGCTGTCTCGAGATCTAGACACAAATACATGGACTTTTCCTTCCTCTTCCTTACAGAAGAGGAGCAAGTTCTTTTGGTTGGGAGGGGTAGGCTCTTTTGCAGATTTTGAGGAGACTCGGGCCTTTGGCTTGGAAAGATTCCAGCTTGAATTAGTTTTCTTGGTGGAGCCTCCAGTGAGGAAAGGAAGGCTCTGGAACTGCAAAGATGGAAACTGGCACATTGGTCATGGGTGTGGGTAGGTTGACCAGTTGTCCCAGTTCGCTGAGGCTGAAAGTGGTTCCTGGAACATGGGGTGTCTGTTCTATAATCTGACTGAAGGGTTTCAGGAAACTTCTTTGCTAAAGTCAGACAAGTCCTGGACAAAATCTGACAAGTTAGTAACCCTAGACCTAAGAGTCAACTTTTCATCAAGTTCTCAGACACACAGAGGCTCGTGTCCCAGTGTCCCACTCCTATTGGTGTCCTGGAAGTGGCAGACTTTGCTGTGTGGTTCATGGAGCATCCTGGCTGTGGAGACGGCAGGACAACTGTCTGTGTTCCAGCCTGTGGTACACGGACAGAGCCGTGTGAGACAGATAAGTGTGGCTGCCAAGAGCAATGGCACCCAAACAGACCAGAACCATGTGGGGAGGCAAGAGTGGAGGTAACGACCAAGAGCAGAGAGGACCTAGTCCTTCCCTACTCACCCTACGGAATAATCCCTACTTCCCACACACTCCAAAACTGGGAGGGAGCTCTGCGAAGTCAGCTGACATAGGGCTTCTCAACTACCTTAATGCATGGGAGCTTGAACTGGATATAATTTCACTTAGAAAAATGAGAAATGGGATTTGTGTTAATAACGGAGAGAGTGGAACACACTCTTGACCATTTCATATGCTTGCCAATGTTGCTTATAGAATTGTATTATTCAGGATCCAACATAAAACATGCGGCACACTTCTAATAGGATTATTTTTTTTTTTTAAAGATTTTATTTATTTATTTGACAGAGTGAGACACAGCAAGAGAGGGAACACAAGCAGGGGGAGTGGGAGAGGGAGAAGCAGGCTCCCCACTGAGCCAGGAGCCCGATGCGGGGCTCGATCCCAGGACCCTGGCATCATGACCTGAGCCGAAGGCAGACGCTTAATGACTGAGCCACCCAGGCGCCCCACTAATAGGATTATTTAAGAGGGTTTCTTTAAAAGGTTAATCCCAGGTAGAAGTGTGGTTACTGGGAATTGGTTATAAGAACTGGAAAAGAACATGGATGGACATGGCTTCTTGAGAAAAGCATTGAGCTCTGACTGACGGACATAGCCAACCTGGGGAAACCAGCAGGGAGGGAACAGGGTGTATGGGAACCATGACCCCATTTTGCTCCCTGTATCTCTCATGTCCCACCAGAGTTCCCCATTGGATGAATCCAAACAGTACAGAAGACCTAGTTCATTTCTAGGGTCAGAAAGTGCTTGAGAAATGGTAGAGAATAATCTAAAAAGGCAAAGGGAAAAAGTACAACACAGAATATAGAGTTTTAGAAATGCAAATGTCCTTAGAAATTGGTGCAGGATGGGGCGCCTGGGTGGCTCAGTTGGTTAAGCGGCTGCCTTCGGCTCAGGTCATGATCCTGGAGTCCCGGGATCGAGTCCCATATCGGGCTCCCTGCTCAGCGGGGGGTCTGCTTCTCCCTCTGACCCTCTTCCCTCTCGTGCTCTCTGTCTCTCATTCTCTCTCTCAAATAAAATCTTTAAAAAAAAAAAAAAGAAAAAAAAAGAAATTGGTGCAGGATCTTCAATTCACAAATAAACCAATAAGGGCAGAGATAGAAGGTCAGTCACAAATCTTCAGAGGTTAAGATAGAAACCCACATTTCCCTACTCAGGGTCCAGGATAAACTTTTTTTTTTTTAAAGATTTTATTTATTTATGAGAGAGAGAGAGAGAAACAGCATGAGAAGGGAAAGGGTCAGAGGGAGAAGCAGACTCCCCACTGAGCAGGGAGTCTGATGCGGGACTCGATCCCGGGACCCCGAGATCATGACCTGAGCCGAGGGCAGACGCTTAACCAACTGAGCCACCCAGGCGCCCGGATAAACTTTTCTAAATTATGCCAAAGTTTTTGTATCTTTTTTTCCCCCTTTTTGTAGAGTTTTAAAGACAACCTTGCAGAAACCCATTCACAAAAGAGCCTCAGAGTCAGCAGTATATTTTTGCCCCTAACATGGAATTTTCCAAAGCATACCAGACTCCGGACTTATTAGCCAGAAATGGGGAGGGAAAGTTCTTGTACAAGGTCTTGTCAAACCTTATGAAATTGCCAATTGTCAAATATTTTTACCTACAAAGATGACAATTTCACATGGTTCAAACTAGAACATTTGGAATACTGAATTTAAAAAAAATTAAGCAAGTTTCATTTCTGTAGGGATTTTAATGGATATGTTCATGTTGATCATTTCTTAAACATCAAGGTATTAATCATATGAGGAGAATCAAAATATCTATGATTCTCAAATAACTGTAATAAAGGGCCTTTAAAAAAAAACAAACAAAGTAGGAAGCTGTCTTTTGAAGAGAGGGAAATCATGAAGGAACATAGAAAAATAAGTGGTTTCTGGGTTCTGTAAGAATTTAAAAAAAGGGAAAATTTTTAAAAGGCCAGTAACAAAACTATACACCCCGTTTCTCTACAATCCAGCAATCATGCTCCTTGGTATTTGCCCAAATGAACTGAAAACTTACATTCACACAAAATCCTGCACAAGAATGTTTATAGCAGTTTTATTCACAACTGTTAAAACCTGTAAGTAACCAAGATGCCCTTCAGTAGGTGAATGGATAAATAAACTGTGGTCCATCCGGACAATGAAATATTTTCCATCACTAAAAAGAAGTGAGTTATCCATCACTAAAAAGAGGTGAAAAGACACGGAGGAACCTTAAATGCATATCACCAAGTAAAAGAAGCCAGTCTGAAAAAGCTACATACTATGTGACTTCAACTCTATGACATTCTGAGAAAAGCAAAACTCTGGAGACAGTACGTGGATCTGTGATTGCCAGGGGTTGAGGGTACAGGGGAGGGATGAACAGTCAAAACATAGAGGATTTTTAGGCAGTGAAACTACTCTGTATGATACTATAATGGTGGACGCATGTCATTATACATTTTTCTAAACCCACAGAATGTCAACTGCCAAGAGTGAACCCCAATGTGAACTATGGCTCTGGGTGATGATGTCATGTCACCATCAATTACAGCAAATGCACCATCTGGTGGGGAAGCTGATAGTGGGGGACGCTGTGCGTGGGGGGGAGGGCAGATGGGAAATCTCTGTGCCTTCCTTTCAATTTTGCTGTGAACCTAAACCTGCTCTAAATAATTATCTATTTAAAAAAATAATAATAAAGGCCAGGAAAGGATATAATGGGTAGGAGAGAGAAACAAACACAACCTCAGAGTGTTGCCAACTTTTTTGTTTTGCCAAATAAGGACAGTAAATCAGACATTCACCAGGACAGTAAATTTACCAGGACAGTAAATCACACATCTACTATCTACTCACCACCATTTCTGAAGATAAAAAGAGCAAAAATCTTGGAATAAAGGGACGTTTTCCCCCAAACCAAGTTAGCTGGAACAAACTCATCTCAAATATTTTTACCATAGACCAGTGAAAAATTTAGCACATGTTTGCAAATTACTGAGCTGGAAGCACAATGAAACCAGAGATAAAAAATTGTGCGGACGATAATCTCATTTTTATTAGCAACCTTTTAAAGCATTAAACTGCACTAAGTCCATTTTCTTACGTAAATCCTAAATACGGCTCACCAGTGACCTGCCAAGAGATAGTTGAGTCAGAATGTGTTTATGTGCAAATTTCACTAGTTTTATGACCATGGCTGACCCTGCACACCACTGAATTATATGACATCTCTATATGGTGCAATGTGAAGGGTACTCAGAGGATGAGCTCCCACAAAATATCTCCACTCCTTCCTTCTTGGGAAACTGCTCATTAAAAAATGGGCCAGACAGCAAAGGTGGAACCTCTCCTTCAGGGGGTAAGAGCTCCAATGTGCAAATGAGGGGTCCCGTGGGCGATCCTGTAGGGATTACTCCATCATGTGAACTACTTGAAACCTTGGCCCAAAGGAGGGGGAAATGCAGGGCACGTCTCTGCAGGGTAGTTGATGGTAGACACTCCGTGTGGCTGATTAGCAGCTCCACTGCACAAAGACTTCATAGCACTGAGTGGGGTAATTAGGGGGCCTGGCGATGGTGCAGGTTTGTGGGGGCACCGGAGACAAACTTCACATTCAGGTAGAGACCCACATCTGTCTTGGGCCCACATTTTGCTAGTTAACTGAAGCCTTTAAAATTATACGTCTATGTTTTCATATAACCAAGGAGATGCATTATCTCAGCCTACCTGATCACGGACAGCACGTCTGAAAACGAACCTTTCTCTTGATCTGCATTTCCCGAATGTCACATTATGCTCAAAAGAAATGACCTCCATGAAGGGGGAGGCCTAAGAACACACAGGTGCCCAGCAGACAAACGAGACCACAGCCGCCACCTACTTGAGAACTGAATGGAGAAGCCCGACTTGCTGATGAAGAAGTCACTGTCGAACTGCAGGGTGAGCGAGCTGAAGGTGCTGTGGATGTCCTCGGGGAGCATGGAGCCGCTCCACTCCTTGAGCAGGATGTCGCTGTCCACCGGGCCGTCCCACACCTTCAGGATGTCGTGGGCCGTCTCTGTGTCGAACACGATGAAGTGCAGGCTGTGGGAGAGAGCACAGCTTGTACGCTTACTCACAAGAGGGCTCCCCACGCCACCAGAGCACCGTGAGCACAAACGTGAACGCACACGCGCTCATGGCGTCCGGCCAAACCCCACCGAAGCGTGCCTTGTGCTACCTGCCAAAGAGGGAGGAGGCGATCAAGCCTCTGAGACACCATTTCCCGGTGCAAGTGAGAATTACGGCTGCCTGTGCAGGATACAGGGCCTGCCGAGCTCTGTGCTGAGCTCTGTCTTTAGGGACCCAAACAACTCCTTTTGAGATTGCCCGTTCGTTGTATAATTGAAAGCTTTCTCAGGCTCCCAAACCAAAGGTGAGTTTGACATCACTTGGTCTCAAGCCAATCCAAGTCCGGTTTTTAGGCGGGGTCCGTGTGGTTCTCGAAGTGCCCCACTGGGTGGCAGCATGCGTGCCAAGAGAAACAGCCTTGCAAAGGCGGTGTCCGGCTCAAGGATCTGGTACTTCTACCTGAACCCTCTGATCTCGGCTGCGTTTCTTTCATCGAGTTTATTTTCAGAAAGGTACATTACTTGGAATACCCACACAAAGGCAGAACTGTCATATGAACTCCCTTCTTGATAACAGTTTAATCTACTTCGATCAGATTCAGAGACCCTTTCCAGAGCGACGCGAACGTCTCTGCGTCTGGAAAGCTCGCTCGTGGAGGCGGAGGCGCGGCTGGGGTGTGGGCGCGTCCCGGGTGTGCGCCCCTCACATGCCAGTTTCCTGACCGCCTCGCTTTCCAGTTTCTCCTCCACTGCTTATTGCACAAAGTCGTCAGGGAAGTGATAGAAATCATAACAAATGACCTAGGAAAAACAGGACATGGATCCCAATAATTTCTTCTGTGCACACTATGTGTTCCAAGAAAGTACCTATCTCACCTCGCAGGAAGTATGAGCTGTGCGGCCTATTTTTAAAACGTTTCGCGTGAAATGCGTTTCATAAGGAAAGGACGGGAGGCAGCGCCCTGTGCCCACCACCCCCCACGCTCACGTGCGGCCCCACGAGCTTCGGATCTTTAAAAATAAAATCTTATAGACACAGCCACACTGCCCTTCCTTCCACTTATTCATCTGTTCTTCCTCTCGATCCACGTTCTCAAATGTTCACGGATCGTGTTCCCATTTACATTTCTGTAATTTTCATTGCCGTCTGCATATATATCCCCAGGCAATACATAGACCTAATTTGTACATTTAACACTACTTGCATAAGAGATGTCATTTTGGCGTTGTCTGCGCTCCTACCATGCTCAAGTTGCTTTTTACATTCAGCATGACGTGAAAGCTAGTGACTTCCTCACTAATTTACCACCCCAAGTCCAAACTTCATTGTCTTGTCAATTCTTCACGAATTTCTTATCTCCTTGTACAAAAACTGTAAAAAGTGCCTGCTCTAGGCAGTTCTTTGAGTCTCACAATTCCAGTGGGGTTTCTGTACATGTGAATTAAATGTGGTTTTTCTCCTGTTCATCTGCCTTATGTCCGTTTCATTATGAGACCAGCCCAAGGAGCTACAAGGGAAGAAGGGGAGTGTTTTCCTCCCCTACATTACTTTTTTGCTATACATTTCTATTTCTATCCCATTTTGGTCGGCATATGGGGCATAAAAGATAGTGATCCTGTATATTTATCTACAGTTTGTTCCCAGTATGTGATCATGTTTATGTTTCATATTTACTTGAACAGAATGTGCAGGTTCTAATCGGAAGTTGAATATCTTTTAAAAATAAGTCCAATAATTGCATGGCTCAAATCTTCTATAAGCTTACTAATTTGTTATCTGTTTGATCTAAGGATCATAAAGAGTTATAAGAAGTGTACTGTGCAGTTTCCAATGTCTCCATATAATTCAGTCATGTGTGTATTTAATTATGTTCTTTGCTGAATAAAAGTTCCTAACTGTCATATATTCCTGGTGAATATATACCCCTAAACAAAATATGATCCTATTTTGTGTGTTAATTTTAATTGCATAACAGATATCTGTAGTAAGGAATGGAGATAGTTTGAGTATAGAATTCCAGATCAATGTTTATTTTCCTTTAGTTCTTCAAAGATCTCCTTTTAGTCTGTATTAAAAAGATGTCTTTTATCTATAAAAAGATGTCTTTTATTAGGCTAATTAATATATGTCTTTCTTAAGTTTTTTTAAGACTTTTTATTTATTTATTTGACAGAGAGAGAGAGAGTACAAGCAGGAGTAGCAGGGAGAGGGAGAAGCTCCTTGCTCAGCTCCCCACTGAGCAAGGAGACAGATGTGGGGCTCTATCCCAGGGTCCTGGGATCATGACCCGAGCCAAAGGCAGTTGCTTAACCAACTGAGCCACCCAGGTGCCCCTATGCCTTTCTTTCTTTGGCTGTTTGCCTTTGGTGTCCTTCAGTCTTACTAGAATGTGTCTAGGTGTTCACTGATATTCACTAATGCTACTTGGGACACATTATGCTTATTAAATGCAAAATTCACACTGTCTATCAATTCCAGAATTTAAGGTGATATAGGGAATAACTATCACTGTAGAATTATGAACTACTTATGTAACCATCACTTAGAATTACTTTTATACTGTGTGCTTGTAGTACTTTTTGATAAAAATAAAAATTAATGAAGAAAAGGAGGAAACTAATTTAAGTAATTTCTCTGGGTATAAATCTGGCAATACACTTTGAACTATGTATGAAATTGTTTTCTAGAAAATACAGATTATCAAAATTGACTCCAGGAGCTCAATATAGACAAACATATAGAAATACACATCCTATATTTATCAAAATATTTAAATTGGTGATAATTTGAAAATAGGATAAACGGTCAACAACAAAGGAATTAAAAGTTCAGTAAATATTGATATATTGGTCTATCTATCTATCTACCTACCTATCTATCAAGAGAGAGAAGTCCATAAAATATAGCTGAGTGAAAAAGAATAAAAAAGTATGAAACACTATGATTTTTAATTACCCTGAATAAATAATTTTATTTATTAATTCAAATAATTTTCCTATAGATTTTAGGGAAATTTTCTAACATTAGATGGTAAAATTTAATATTTATTATTTTTTCCATCATGGAGATATTTTGTATAATTAAAATATATTTACTGAAGTAAAGAACAGTTAAGAGTTTAGTCCCTGAGACTGGGAATAGAACAGTGAGGCCCAATATCACCACTTCTGATTAACATTATTCTGGAGATTGTAGCCATTACAATAAGACAAGCAAAAGCATTAACTCTTGGGAAAAAGAAAATAAACTCTTATTACTGTAGATAGCATGACTGTATGCATAGAGAAAACTTGAAAACCTACAAACTCTTAGAATTAATAAGAGAATTTATAAGGGATAAACACAAAAATATACGTTGTTTTCATCTAGCAGCCACAAATGCAAAATGACATAAAATACTATTTACGTTAATATAAAAAAATCCTGTAGGTGGGAATAATTCCAACAAAAGATGTGCAAGCCCTCCACACAGAAAACTGCAAAGCATTATCAAAACAAGTTATATAGGATCTAAATAAATAAATATTCCAAGCACCATGTTAGGGATCAGACAATTTAATACTATAAATCATGTAAGTTTTTCCCTAAATTGATCTATTGATATAATGTGATTCTAATCAGTCCTAGAAATTTACTTTGTAGAATGTAACAAGTCTTTCTAAAATGAATATGGAAATGCAAAAGGGTAAGAATAGTTATAGCAATCTATATTACAAAGAAAAAAGCTGGAGGATTATAGTACCTGTTAGCAAGATTTATTAAAAAATAATTAAGTAATTAAGATAGAAAAATATATATCTGTATAGATCTGGTTTATGATAAAGATTGCACTGTAACATGCAATGAAGAAAGATTGACTTTCACTAATGACAACAGCAATAATAAAATACCTGAATATTCTTCATACACACACAAAAGTCTATTCCAGATGAAATAGAGACATAAATATGGAAGGTAAAGTAAATCTGCAAGAAAACCTAAGATAATATTTTTATAACTTCAGAGATGCAGAATTTCTTAATCTGGACCCCAAAATACTAACAACTACAAAAAACATTTGACATAACACAATTTAAATACAGGTAAGAAACCCACTAACTATAAAAGAAAAATGAATGAAAATAAATTTGACTCATTGAAATTAAGACCCATGTTTATCAAAAGACATTATGACACCAAAAGACTGACCATAGAGTATAAGGGTAAGTGTTAAACATATAATTAGCAAATAATTGCATTCAGGATTTATAAAAACTATACACACATCAAAAAGTAAAAGAGGCATTCTGGTACAGGAAAAAAAAGGGGACAAAAGACTTCAACTGGCAATTCATAAAAGAGGATATTCAAAAGGCCAATAAACAAAAAAGTGTTATCCTTGATAAGAGAAATGCAAATTAAAACTACTATGTACCCACTAGAATGGCTAAAATGAAAAAGATAGTCAATGCCAAGTATAGTTGGAAGGTGGAAAACCTGGAAATCTTATCTACATGGTGATGGGAGTAAAGTCAGCTATGACCACTTTGGAAGATCCTTTGGCAGAATCTACCAAGGCTGATATAGAACTTGCCATTTCTCAGACATTCTAGTCCTAGGTATGCATCCAAAAGGAAAACATGGATGAATTCACCAAATAATACATGAAAGCATATTCAACATGGCAATCCAAACCAGACAAAGACAATCCATACATCCATCAATACCCAGAATGAATAAATAAGTTATGGTATATTAATGCAATGGAATAATCTAGCTATATCAGTGTGAGTGAAGGTTGAAGAAATGAAGATACAACACCAATCACACTGCATAATTCAATTTTATATAATGTTCAAATTAGGCAAGACTTATCTGAAGGCCATAGTGATTATCCTTGAGAATGAATTATTCAAAAGGAGCTCAAGGGGCACATGTTGTGTCTTGGTGATGCTCTATTTCTTTATCTGGTTGCTGGTTACATGGGGTGTTAT